GGGAATTACAGTGTCTCATCTAGTCCGATGTGAAGTCAGTCATTAATTTACAAGAAGGTAGGTCAGAGGGGGTTTTTCTGAGTAATTATATATATGTATTATATAGACATATGTGTATTATATGTGTTGTATATATGTACTGTATGTATTAAATACACATATGTGAATATAATATATTTACATAATATATATACATACATATAATATATGTACTGTATGTATTAAATACACATATGTGAATATAATATATTTACATAATATATATACATACATATAATATATGTACTGTATGTATTAAATACACATATGTGAATATAATATATTTACATAATATATATACATACATATAATACATATAACATATATACATGTATATATGTATATAAGCACATATGATATATATTATATGTAAATTCTATATTAATACAGTATATAATATATTATATGTTATAGATTATTATATGTTCTATTATGTTTTATTATATTGTATGTTATATATAATATGTTATGTCATAATTTAAATAATAATATGTTAATAATATATAATTATGAGTCATAAATGCAATTAAAAGCTTGACTGAGGCAAACATTTTAGTGCTTTCAATTTAAGCTAAGTTTTATTAATTATAGATATAGTGACAAGAAATGTTTTCTTAGTCTATAATGCCAGTATTAAAATACAATGCTAATATATGTCAATATATGATGTCTTTTGTTTTGATTCAAGACAGATTTTTGAAAAAATATATAAAGTTAAATGATATCATTAAAATACCTAGTGTTGCTTCCTTTTTTTTTTTGTTGCTCATGAGGCTTGAACTCTGGGCCTGGGCTCTGTCCCTCAGCTCTTCAGCTCAAGGCTAGCGCTCTACCATTTGAGTCACAGCACCACTTCCAGTTTTCTGGTGGTTTATTGGAGATAAGAGTCTCATGGACTTTCTTGACTGGGCTGGCTTTGAACTGTGATCCTCAGATCTCAGCCTCCTGAGTTGCTAGGGTTACAGGTGTGAGCCACCAGCACCCAGCTATCGTGTTGCTTCTTAAAGTGGTTTACCTGCATGAAAAATTCGGTGAAACTTGTTTATCAAATCCAAAACATTTCTCCGATGCATTAGTATTTCTATTTAATTCATATTGTTCTATTCTCCCTACTCTTGTCTTTTTGGCATCTGCCCTTTTCCTACTGTCTTTTTGATTTTAAAAAAAATTATGTTTAGTTGTACAAAGGAGTTGCCATTTGCTGAAGCAGTTTATGAATACAGTGCATCTTGATCATTGTCACCCTTCCAACATTCTCACCCACCCCTCCCAACACACCCCTTCCCTTACTCATCTTAGTTTTAGATTATGTGCTGAATTTCTGCCATTTAACAAAGCACTTTATGTGTGCAATGCCTCTTGACCCATGTCACCACTTCACCATCTTTACCCCTCTTCCACCCACCCCCTTCCCTTCCATTTCTCAAGCCTGTGGTCTATACAATGAATTCTTGCCTGCATTTTACCCTCTTCCCCATTCCTTCTACCCCTGTCCCCTTGGCCCTCCCCTTCCCTCTTGCATATACTCATTTCCTGGTACTTATGTTGTTGGGCTTTGACTTAGTCTTTTCTAAAGACTTGTACTATTTGCACTCTCCATAGAGTCTTTTACATTCAGTGTAACACTGGTGGCCGTGGACAACATTCATGACCTCATTTTGTGACTTGTAGAGCCTCATGCCCATTACTATTTACAGTGGCAGGCTAATAGCAAAGTCATGGCTCTGCCTAGCTGTGACCTAGTAGCTACATTGCAGGTGAGGAAAGAGTCAAAACCTCTCTTGAGTCCTTTGTAGATACATGGGGTAAGCAGCGCTGGGGATCAAATCTGGGCCCTTGCTCATCGTAGGCAAGTTCTCTACCACTGAGCCGCATCTTTAGCCCTAGCAACTATTTAAAGAGAAGTGAAAGCATAGAAATGTTAACTCTAGGAAAAACAAGAGGGGTGAGGTTCAGAGTTTCAGACTTCTTATGGAGGAAAAGGGCAGAGAAATCTGAAGTCTGCCAAGGCAGACTCTCGAACGAAACACGCACTAAGGAAACTTCTGATTCTGTTCCTTTGGAGCCCTGTGACTTCGCACATATTTCCAAAACTGATCCACTAGGATTGTAGGATGGAAACAATATTTTCCTTTCTAAGTTCTATGTGAGCCAAGTGACTGGAGATGGGCAGCAGTATGAAAAAGATCCTACAACAATCAGCGCCAGACTCCTCTTTTTTTTTTTTTTTTTTTGGTCGGTCGTGGGGCTTGAACTCTGGGCCTGGGTGCTGTCCCTCAGCTCTTCAGCTCAAGGAGAGCGCTCTACCACTTGAGCTACAGCACCACTTCCGGTTTTCTGGTGGTTTATTGGAGATAGGAGTCTCACGGTCTCTCCTGCCCGGGCTGGCTTTGAACCGTGATTCTCAGACCTCAGCCTCCTGAGTAGCTAGGATTACAGGCGTGAGCCACCAGCGCCCGGCCAGACTCTTCTTTACTCTTTCTTCTTTACTTTTCATTGTGGTTGTTTCCTCTATCCCTCTTATTCTCCCTTCCCCCTCCCTACCCGTACAATTTGTAAGTAGCTTCCATTGCATAGATTGCTTGATGCTTGATTCACCCTAAGATACCTTCTACCAGTCAATTCATCCAACAGATATTATTTGAGCATTTAATACAGTCTAGGCAAAACAATGTGCTGAGAATAAATCAATACTTAAAAAAGATAGCATCCCTTTGGTCATAGGGATGGTTAACTATGTACACTGGCACTCCCTAATAGAAGCTGGGTTTCTGAAGATTGCCCATCCATCCACCCATCCATCCATCCACCCATCCATCCATCCACCTATCCATCCATTCATCCACCCATCCATCCCACTGTCCATCCATCCATCCTTATCCTTCATCTATGCATCCATCCATCTCTCCATGGAAGGTAATGACATCACAGTGTATTAAGTAGTTTCCTGTATACCCTTTATCACAGCATGGATGGATATGTATATAATAGTAATCACATTATATGCTTGATTTTTTTAAATGGGGAAATCTCTAGTATCCCATAATTTTGGGCTATTTTAAATTTGTTTAAAATATTGAATACAATTTGAGTGATTCAAATCAGTATGCATTTTCCTTCAGAAACCATAATTCATTTTATGCAAACTTGCTTCTAGAATTTAACTTTAGGGCAAGAGATACTTAGGATTACAAATGTTGGATGGGAAGGATCTGTGTATTCAAAGTGATTCTGTTTCTGCTTAGTTCTGGAACTCTATCATGGAATGTGGTTCTACCACTTAATTTGAAAGCTAGCCTTCTACAAATACAGAGCTGAATTAATTTACACCGCTTTTATCCAGAAATTTAAAAACAACTTCTAACATTGAATGCTACTGGTTTCCTCGTCTCTACCAGTTCCCATAAGGACAGGCCTTCAGAGAAGCCAGTTCAAAATGAGATACTTCAATGATTTGAGCCAAAGTAATGTTTGATCAAAGCAAAGAATTATTTGGGTCAGGTTATAGTATTTTAGTTTTTATTGAGATAAAATTTACAAAATAAAGTTCAACTTTTAAACTCTTTTGAAGTTTACAATTCTAAGTATATCCACTATCGAATTTCACAACATTTCACCACCCCAAAATAAAACCTTATACTTCCCAATTTCTCTCTCTCCTTTTCTCTGACGCCCACAAATCTGCATGCTATTTCTGTAGATTTGCCTGTTGTAGATATTTTATACACATGAAATGTTATAATGTGCTCCTTTCAGGATTCATTCATGTTGTAGTATATGTCAAGATTTCATTCATTTTTGTGATCAATTAATACTCCGTTGAATGGCTATAACACATTTTCTTTATGCATTCATTGGTCAATGGAATTTGGTTGTTTCCACTTTTTGTCAGTTAAGAATATTCATGTACATATGCAAACATGGTGTGTGTGTATGTGTGTGTGTGTGTGTGTGTGTGTGCCAGTCCTGGGCTTGAACTCACGACCTGGGCACTGTCCCTTACCTTTTTCTGCTCAAAGCTGGGGATCTAACATTTGAACCACAGTGCCACTTCTGACGTTTGTCTGAGTAGTTTATTGCAGATGAGACTCTCACAAACTTTTTTGCCAGGGCTGGCTTCAAACCACGATTTCAGATCTCAGCCTCCAAAGTAGCTAGAGTTGCAGCCATGAACCACCAGTGCCTAGCATCAAACATGGGTTTTTAATTCTCATCAGTGTATGTCTCGGACCAGAATTGCTAGACCATATGTTAACTTTATGTTTAACTTTATGTTTAATTTCTTTTTTTTGGGGGGGGGGTCCAGTCGTGGGGCCTGAACTCTGGGCCTGGGCGCTGTCCCTCAGCTCTTCAGCTCAAGGCTAGCACTCTACCACTTGAGCCACAGTGCCACTTCCGACTTTTTTTCTTTTTTGCTTATGTGGTGCTGAGGAATCGAACCCAGGGCCTCATGCATGCAAGGCAAGCGCTCTACCACTGAGCCACCTTCCCAGCCCCTTAATGTTTAATTTCTTGAGGAGCCACCAAAATGTTTTCTGTTCAGCAGTTTTGTCATTTTATGTAACAACAGTTCTACATGTATTTGCTGTATATGTGAAATAGGTAATTCTCTATTCAAAGTGTTTGTTTCATTATTTCTTCAACTGGAATCTTAAGAGGAAAGATTAAAGAGAAGAAAATTCTATTCAGCAACATGAAGTGACTATTTTGTATAATACATGTGAAAAATATATTTGTGATATGTATAGAATATTTTTATTTCTGAAAACAAAAACTAATATTCTGTTTAGCAATTATTAAGGAGACTGTGTTATGTCAGAAAAAAAGGAATTCCTGTTTAGGAAATATTTCTATTACTAGGGGAATAATAAAAGTAATTATTTTCAACATGTAACTGTACTGCATTTTTATTTACCATCTGCACACTTTAATCCAGGACTCACTTCCCTTGTCAATGACAGGGTTGAAAAGAGAAGAGGAGAGGACAGAAGAGAAGAGAAGAGGATTTGTGAGTCTCATTTGTGAGTCTCTGGGCACTTGGTGATTATGAAGCTTTTTCTGAGATGGACCAAGCCCTTGCTCACAGATTCATGGTGAGTGGTTTTTGTTTTCATTTTTGTTTTGTTTTTTGGTCATTTGTGGGTCTTGAACTCTGGGCCTGGGTGCTGTCCCTCAGCTCAAGGCAAGCACTCTACCACTTAAGCCACAGCGCCACTTCTGGTTTTCTGAGGGGTTAATCAGAGATAAAAGTCTCATGGACATTCCTGCTGGGGCTGACTTTGAACCTTGATCCTCAGATCTCAGCCTCCTGAGTAGCTAGGATTACAGGAGTGAGCTAGAGTACCTGGCTCTTAGTGTCTTTTATCTAGTATTTTCTTCAAACTGTTGACTCTGTTGGTATAGATGATCTAAACACATTATGTCAAAAAGCCAAACTGCTGCAGAAAGCTTCAGATTATGCCTACTCTATATGACTTGATTTTTTGTGTGTATAATCTTTAAGGCCTCACACTTGCTAAGCAAGTGTTCTACAAGTTGAACCATAACCACAGTCCTTTTGATTGATTGAATTATTTGCCTATGTATGTATGTATGTATGTATGTATGTATGTCAATAGGGTCTCACACTTTTGCCTTGCCCAGCCTTGGACTATGATCCTCCTACCTCTGCCCCTGAGTAGCTAGAACCAGGGGCATGTGCAACACACCCAGCATTATGACTGACTTATTGCTAAACACCAATTCTCTCTATTCTCCCTGAGATGTACCCCCACAGCTCAGCTGGGGAGCTGCACAGTTAAAGGCTCTGTGTTCTCACGCTCTTACCAGGTTTAAATAGCAAAGGCTCTATGTGTCCAGAGCCTTCTTATAATTAAGTAAGCTAGGACAAAGCACTTCATGAGTACAATGGAAACTTTATCCACCCTAAATGTATCTGAATCCTAATCCACCCAATCTGTGACATCCAAGGGAGGTTTAGTTTCCTGATGGAGCTCAGATTGACAGTTAGCTGATCTTGAGATGAAGGGTGGTTGCTGATCACTTGATTGGTCCAGCGATGACAAGGATCCTTAAAACTGAGAAAAGAAGATGTGACTACAGAAGGAGAGCCCAGAGAGAGGCAGCAAGACAAAGTCTCAACCAGCCATTTCCAGCTGAATATAACTCAGGTAGTAATTTGAAATCTGAAGACAGAATAGGCCACAGGTGGTTTCTAGAACCTGGGAGAAAGCAAGGAATCAAATTCTCCCTGTGTTCAGGAACCCGGCCTTTGTGACACTGCCTTTCACCAGTGAGATGCTCTGAGCCATTGTGCCGATGGCGATAAATAATGGCAGCCAATTGGAGCTGAATGAGACTGTTAGATGGGAATGAAAAGGTGTGGGGAGCCAAGGCCACTAACAAGCACATGAAGAGTTCCGAAGACAATGACTATCCATTTGTGGACAGTGAAGGGAAGAAGGTGTGTTGGGGGTGGGGGGTGGGGAGGGAAGTGCATTCCCATCTCAGAAGTGCAGTCAAGTCTTCTTTTTGTAGAGAATATATGGGAGAAACACTCCACTTTGGATGGTTTGTAAAATTATGATTTTAACTATTTAATTAAGTAGAAAATTCAATCAACAAGCCAAGATAGAATGAGGTGGCAATAAAAGATTCATAATGCACAGAAGTCAAATCACTCTGGGATCATAGGATACAATAAATACTACTTACAAATGCCCAAGGTAGTAAGAACTTACTTCACAACAGAAATGGTTAATTCATTGTCAACTTGATTTAAAATCATTTTCCCCCCTGTATCTAACACCGCCATACTTGCTCTTCATTTACGTAGTGACTATGTTAAAAATGTTGCCTTGATTGTAATCATTAATTCCAGTAGTACGCTGGGTACATGAAGACTTAGATGGAAGGCAGAAAAGCCCGGCCAGACCTGTCTCTCTACTGGCCTGTCTTCCTAGCCAGATGTTAGCTGATCAGCAGGAAGACCTAGAAGGCAGAGAAGGGAGGCTCATGCAGAATGGGGATTCCACGGGTAACCTGAAGAAATGGGGAGGGATGGGAGGGATGGGGGAGAACAATGGGAGGGATGGCATTGGTCGAATTGCATTGTGCTTATAAAGTGCAGTGTTGCCTTGTACAACTACTTAAAGATCATGAGAGAAAGTGGGCTCCGGTGGAGAAAAGACTGTCTGCAGAACCCATATAGAACCCAATTCTACCAGCCAGGGGGTAGATGGGAAGTCCAGCCCACCACAACTGTTCAGGACAAGTGAGATGACCAAACTGAAGGCTGAAACATTGAGGGGTTTTGGATAAGTGTCAGCAAACATTCGTGAATATTTGGTGGCCTCCTCCTTTTAAAAAAATATATTCCTGTGGCTGGGAAGGCGGCTCAGTGGTAGAGCGCTTGCCTTGCATGCATGAGGCCCTGGGTTCGATTCCTCAGCACCACATAAGCAAAAACAAAAAAGCCGGAAGTGGCGCTGTGGCTCAAGTGGTAGAGCACTAGCCTTGAGCTGAAGAGCTGAGGAACAGCGCCCAGGCCCAGAGTTCAGGCTCCACGACCAGACCTCCCCCCAAAAATGTATTCCTCCTTTGTTAAACTGTATAATAGTGATGTTATTCAGTTAGATTTCTGTCTTTCACATACAAGGCCCTGGACTGCTTAACTCTTCCCTAATGAGCCCCAAATCATTTTGCTTTTGCCATTCTCCTAGTCCAGCCAGGTTTCCTGTCACAACTCCTTCCCCCTGCCCCTTGCAGTGGCTCCCATTTGGTGACCTCTAGGATAGCCTGGCCTCAGCCAAGTCCCTGAGCACAGTTCCATCTTTTCTCTCCCCTCTGGTTGCTCGCTGGCCATCCCCACCCTATCATCAGAGGATTCCAGCACAATGGCAGGCATGCAATCTCTCTTTCTTGATTGGTTAAGACGAGGAGAGGAAAGGAAGGCATCCAGAGGGAGGGCAAACCTCTGTCTGGTCTTGGCACAGATGAACCACCAGCCTGTGGTCGAAGCCTATCCGCAAGGAGAAGAAGCTGTCTGGAATTAATTCCTTTATCTTTTTATTTATTTTACTTTTATTTTTGGCAAGCTTGTTTCACATGAAAATAAACAGTGTCAATTAATGTGGATTTTGCTTTTTCTCTAGGTCACTTGTACTTATTCTGTTTTCGGTGCAACACACGTGCGGGGTGAGTTCAAGAATTCACTCTGGTTACTTACTGAGAATTCACTCTATTGGATGTATGGGTTTTGTCATGTGTGAAGAAGTCGGCTTCTGCAACAATAGTTTCCTCAGCTGTTAATTGGGGATTTGGACTAGACAAATTCTAAGATTTCTTTAGTCACAGTGACCAAAACTGCTGATGGAACTACCTAGGTATTGAAATTTTCTTTATTTTATAACTGATGCAATCTTTTAAAACCTTTTTTTATCCTTTTGAGGTAGACAAGAGGCAGCTTGGCCATCTCAGGATTAAATCATGAGATAGAATACTAAGTCAAATATTTCAGTTCTGGAGAGATAAACCCAGAACATCTTGTAATAGGCCCTCTTTCTCCTGCTTTCTCGGGAAAGCATTTTATGTTATTCGAAATGGCCAGGGAAGTTTCTGGGAACCCTTGTCAGGGCGGCTTGTAACTCAGGCTGAAGAGGATTCATCTGGCGTGGGACTCAGGGGCTCAAGTAATCCTAGGTCTTTTTAAAAAAGCAAATGAAAATAGAAACTGAAACTCTTTTTTCCTATAAGTTGGAAACAAACACATGTGTGGGGCCCTGGGTTCTTGTCTCTGCCAATGATTCATCCTTTAACTGACTCAAGACTCTGTGATTCCTTCATTCAACTCTAGTCTTGCTAAAATCTCCAGTGGAAACCAACCAGAATGTACATACCTCCATTTTCTTCTACTCATCTCACCTGCTTCTCATTTTCTAAGCTTACTTTTGTATTAGATTCTTTTGTTTTCTACTGTAAAAGTCACTGAATTTTGAATATCACTGCCTTTGCCCCCCTTGTTCCCGGAAATGAATGTAATTCCTGAATCAGGAATGTTCTGTCCTGGACACCCCCCTACCCCAAGCCTGTGGAACAGTCTAGAAACACCATGCCAAGACTGGGTCTTTAATAACTGGATAGGAAAGGAAGATAAAACACACATGGGTGCAGTATCTGAGGAAGGCAAGTCAACATCATCCATCAGATTGAGAATGCTCTTACCTCTACAGGAATGTGTCTTTTTGTAATGTCTCATATATATTTATTCTGACATGCACAAAGGTGAATGCATACAGGTCATATTCAGTTCCTAAAGTAGGAAGTGACTTGAATGTTGATCAGCGTGAGTGGTCAGCAAGTTTCAGCACTTGCTGTACAGGGAAGCTCTTAAAGTTACTTTAGAATGATTCTGAGGTAGACGCTAATGTGAAAATGATGCGGTACTGAGGAATACATGGGGGAATAAAGAAACAGCTCCCAAATCACCAGAAGTATGTGCATGTAGACACTGGATCTCCAGTTTGCTCCTGTGGAGTGTGTGTGTGTGTGTGTGTGTGTGTGTGTGTGTGTGTGTGGTATTACATTGATACGTGATGTATGATTATAGTGGGGTATGTATGTGTGTGTAGTATATATATATATATATATATATATATGTTTTGTGCGTGTAGTATGGTGGGGATGTGTGTGGTGTATGATGTGTATGGTGTATGCATTTAGTGTGTTGTGTGTATATGTGATGTGGGTGGTATGTTTTGTGTATGCATCTCTGTGGTGGTATAGTTTGTGTAGATGTGCATTGTGTTTTGTGTGGGTGTGTTTGTATGTGTGTTGTGGGGCTGAGTTTGGTGAATTCACCTGTCTCTTAAAATGGTTTTATTATTTGAAACACACCTTTAAATTAAACACCGTATAAATGCTTACTGGGGTGTTTATTGAGTCTATTTGTAAATAATCCTTCCTGACATAGAATCCTACTACAAATATCTCTGCAATGCTTGGCAAAAATAAGAAAAAAATAAATAACCTGTCTTTGTTATCAAGCCATCTAATCAACGGACTCCTGTTTCTTTTTCTGGTTATTTTGATATTTCAGTGAACACATTAACTCAACCCCAACCTTGAATGAACCCAAGTGCTTGAGCTGGCTGACTTTAGTTTTTGTGTCCTGTCCCAATCTGGGCCTGAGTAGTAATATATTTTTCTTTATCCAGATTAAGAACTCATGTATTCCTAGATAGCACTGGCAGTCAGAACTCAAGAAACATATATTTCTGAAACTCCAGATGCATTTTGGAAGGGAGTGCTGGCGTTGGAACTTAGGGCTGTGCCCTTTGAAGTGCTCTACCACTTAAGCCATGTTGCCAGCCCTTTTTGGTTTTGTTTTTCTATTGTGTTTGGTTTTTTCCCCAGTTGGGTCTTGCTTTCTGTCCATTCTGGCCTGCATGTTGACTCTCCTATGTATGTATCCTTTCTGTTCAGCTGTGATGATGGAGCTCAATGCTAGGCCCAGCTTTTTTGGAGGGAGGGGAAGGATAATATAAGAACGTCTTGGAGTGTTGGGAAATTATAGGAAGAACTATTTTAACCCTGAGCACAAAAAGGGTGGAGAATTGCTCTCAGGAAAATGCAATGGAGGACTCAAATCCTAGCTGATGTGAGAGGCAGAGCAAAGAGATTTGGAAGCAAGGTCAAGTGTGTCCTTTATACAAGATTCAGTGGGCATGAATGGTTGGCCTGAGGTTGGGGTGACTGTCTAGACTCTTCCCATCTAGTAAATTAAGTCCAAATGGGAGACAGAAACTATAGACATTTCTGGCCAAAGTGGCTTCTGAAGGAAGATTTTTTTTCCTCCAATGATAGTTCCCCAAGATATTTTCCTTATTGCTGGGAGCTCCTTTCTCTTGTAATCTGGCCTCCTTATGCCACTGTGTAAGTGCCTCATCGCAGTGTGTATGTGTGCACGCGTGCGTGCATGTGCGTACATGTACACTCAGGGCCTGAGCGCTGTCCCTGAGCTTTTTGCTCCAGGCTAGTGCTCTACTACCTGAAGCTACAACTCCAATTCTGATTTTTTTGGTGGATGATTGGAAATAATCGGTCCAGGCTAGCTTCAAACCATGGTCCTCAGATCTCAGCCTCCTGAGTACTTAGGATTATAGGTGTGAGCCACCCACCCCTGGCTGATGCTTTGTGTTTTCATCTATCAATGTTAGTCTTTGCAGCCAATTGTGGTAGTGCACATTTATGACCCTAACGCTCAGGAAAATGAGGCAGAAGGATCATGAGTTTGAGTCCAAGATAGCATTCTCTTACTCTTGTGTTTTGTGTGTGTGTGTGTGTGTGTGTGTGTGTGTGTGTGTGTGTGTGTCTTTGTTTCTCATTGATCCAAAAGCAGTAGGGTTCTATGAAATTCCCATAAACTAGACAACTCCAATGCTCATTCTAATTTATATCTTGGTTGCTAATCTAAATGATGCGGGCTGGAATATATAACAAACTGCTTTACTTTTCAGACTGGCAAGAAATATGTCGGTCCTTGTGGAGGAAGAGATTGCTCAGTTTGCCTGTGTTTTCCTGAGAAGGGATCTCGGGTAAGTGGCATAAAAAAAAAATCCCTGGAAAGTTTACCTGGATTTTGAACCATTGTGAATATTTAACAGGGACAGCTTAGCTGGATTTTGAACCACGGCGAATATTTAACACGTGTCTCAGCGCCACAGCACATGTCAGTAGTCGGTAATGTCATTTCCAGTCAGAGTTCTTCACAATCTGATAAATGGTCACAATCCCCATAAACTGGGTGTCACGTTCAGAATGCAGTCTGTGCAGCAGATTTCCCAGGATGCTAGTCATAGGAATCGCTCAATGAAGCCGGGGTCCTGGGGTTGCCTCATGCACACTAGGTTGTCTTGCTGACATTCGGGTTGTATAACAGTGTTGGTATGTGTGTGTCTGGATGTCTATGAGGGCTGGAGTTTGAACTCAGGGCCTTGCGTTTGCTAGGCAGCCACTCTACCACTTGAGCCACACCCTCAGCACTTTTTTGAGTCAGAATAGGTTCCCATGCTTTGATCCAGGGTAAGCCAGGACCAAGATCCTCCTATCTATGGCTTTGTAAGTAGCTGGGATCACAGGTGTGTGTTGCCATGCATACTTATTGATTGAGATGGGGTTTTGTTAACTGGTTTTTTTTGCCTAGATTGGTCACAGATTGTGATCTTCCTCATCTCTCTGCCTTCCAAGTAGCTAGGATAAAGGATGAACCAAAGCTCGTGTAAACCTTGTTTGAAATAATGCTTCTAGACCCTTGGCCAGAAGGCTTTTGGGTAGATGGCACCATAGAATACCATCTCATAATGGCTATGATTATTGTCTGGTCAGAATTTCCCATACACTATTCTATGTGCTTTCAAGGCTAAGGCTCACTGACTGCCCACAGGGAGGCACAGAGCAGGTTAGTATCTAGCTCAAGTCCAACCAGAACTGTGCTCAGGATCACCAGGCTGCTATCTATTCTGTGAAACAGAGAGATCCTCTCAGTGACTGCTTCTCAGGTCTCCTGAGCCTTCACACATGGCTCTCCTGCGTTCTTAAACAGCCACCCGCTGCCCACCAGTTCATCTGTGCTGAAGTATTTGAACTAACATTTCTCTGATTAAAATTACTGTCATGTGTAAGTGCATTGGACTATCATTCTGTACTTCCTTAAATATATTCGATTATGTGTCAACTCAGCTCTGTTCCAAACTACTAGCACAGTCTTACAAGAAAGGGATGCATTTCAGGAGCTTTGGACAATTTAAGGGCCTTGGAATGCATCGTCACCCATTCAGACTTCAGAAGTAAAATACTGTGGACTGGGGCCTTTTTATTGTTGCTGTTCCAGTACTGGGGCTTGAGCTCAGGGTCTTGTGCTCTCAAGTTGGCTTTCTGGCTCAGGCTGGTGCTCTACCACTTGAGCCATAGTTGCACATCTAGCTTTTATGCTTAATTTGAGATAAGATTCTCTCAGACTTTTTGGCCTGGGCTGGTTTCAAACCATGATCCTAGGATCTCAGCCTCCTGAGTAGCGCAGATTACAGGTGTGAGCTGCCAGCTCCCATCTGAATGGCATCTACTGGGAACTGGAACTTCCACACGTGACCAGAACAGCATCCATATCCACCCACAGGGTGAGCCTTGTTCTCAAAACAGCACAGCTCAATAGGGATCAGGCATTACTGCTGCAACACATTGCTTTCCTGAGAATGGGGTCTGGGGTTTCTCCTCACCGTGCTCTGCCACCACACAGAAGGGATGGCATTAGTATTCCGGTTATTATTTTGAAGGTACTGGGGTTTGAAGTCAGGTTCTTGCATTTACTAAGCAGGTGCTAGACTAGTTAAGTAGGCCCCCAGTCCCTTTTTGCTTTAGTTATTTTCCAGATAGTCTCATGCTTTTTATTCAACTCTACTCTCTGACTATGATCTTCCTACCTCTGCCTCCCAAGTATCTAGAAGGTATTAACCACCTTCCCCAGCAGCTAACCCCTCCCTTCCTCCCTTCCCTCCTTCCTTCTTTCCTTCCTTCCTTCCTCCCTCCCTCCTCCTTTCTTTCCTTCCTTTCTTCCTCCCTCACTCCCTCCCTTCCTTTCTCCCTCCCTCCCTCCCTCCCTCCCTCTCTCTCTCTCTCACTCGCTTTCTTTCTTTCTTTATCTTTCTTTCCTCCCTCTCTTTCTTTCTTTCTTTTCCTTCCTTCCTTCCTTCCTTCCTTCCTATCTTCATTCTTTCTCTTGTTCTTTCTTTCTTCCTTTCTTTCTTATACATTGCAACACATTCTTTTATATTTAAACTGCTCCCCCCCCCAGCAATACAACCAAAATTTGAGGCATCCTAATTTTGACCTTGAGCTTAGAAAAATTCAACAATCATACCTTCGAGTTAAGTTAGGATACCAGACACCAAGATGCCAAGAAGTTCCCTAGCTCTTCCAGGCGCCTTCACAAATGGTTGACACAAACAAAACAAAAACAGCCCTGGATTTTGCGTGAGGTTATGAATGCAAACACACCAGCATTCTGCATATGCCAAGAAGGGAATAAACAAAACAAAGCAAAACACACCACCTGTGCACCTCAGTGGTAAGACCTTTCGGCTTGAGGCCCAAGGGAAAAAAATGGCTCTGATTTGCCCTGTGCTGAAAGGGAAGAGGATCCACAAAACAGAAGCGTTGTGGCTAGGGGAGCTCAGTCCATCGTCTCCCTTAAACAAAGCTGAGGTTGTTCTAGTGGTTCCCCCTGTGTCCTTAGGAATCGGAGTTGTGTTCTCTGTTCTCTGTAATTCAGTGCTCTTCCGGTGGGAGTCATTTTGCTTCCCAGCCTCCCAGGGGACAGATGTCCTGAAACATCCCCAAGTCATCACAGCTGGAACCTGAAGCTCTCCTGCTGCTGTGGCTGACTGGTGGCTGGAGGTTTGGGGTGCTGCTTAGCACCCTAAAATGCCTGGCTCCCCAGGTGGCCATTCCACCAGAGATCCAGCCATTTCTAACCCAGAGGGAAGCCTAGGTATGAAGAAGGCCCGTGCTGGCCCCCAGACAGCTCCCAAGGCCAGGTGTTAGGATTCCTTCTGGCTGAAGATAGAAGACACAGCTTCTCTAATGACTTGCGAAGGCCTGGCCAAGCCAGGTGTCTGGCCTCACCTCTATTTCTTGCTCCCAGGGCATGGAAAGGCAATGACGTGAAGGTTCCAACACCTGGGCTTAGTGTCGCTTGGTGAACTCAGGTGGGCAGGTCCTGCTTTAGTTTCCTTGATGGCCAGCCAGTGCAGGCCGGGCGTGGCAGGGGCTGTACATCCTGGCTCCTGGGTGGCATTCGTGGTGGGATGGGGCCAGGTTGTACCCCAAGCCAGGAACCTGTGTGCTTCTTGAGGTCTGGGTTCTCCCTGGGCAGTGCAGAGTGGGCAGCACTTCCCAGCTGGAACTTGGGGACGTGGCCGGCCATCCTTGGGACCCAGTTTGAGAAGTGGTCACTCCGTGGTCAGCAGCTCACCAGCCTCTGGACACACAGCGCCGGCTCCCAAGGGACGATTATAATGGGAAGATGCTGAATCCCAGGAGTCCTGCATGGGACACACCAAGGGCAGAGAACCATGGGATGATTCCTTAGATGCCCAGAATGCAGTCTAGCCACAGCAGTGCACTTGCTAGGCCTGTGGTCGGCCTCACTGCTCCTTGGTCTCTTCTCCACCTTTTCCTGAATGCTTCCTCCCACTTCCTGTCTTCTGCTGTCCTTCCTGCCCATCCTTCTTATAGGAGGTCAGGGTTGAAGCCACTCCGCTGGCCTTCCTGTGAATCTCAGCCTCTCTGCCTCTCCCTAGCCAGCGTCCAGCCAGTCCTCTGCTTCTATGCCTCTCTACTTATCTGTAGGTCTGCTGGGATTAAGCACTGCCGTCTGGCCTTCTTGATAGGTTGCTAGCATGTGCTCTCTGAAGCACTCATGAAATATTACAACAATTTGCCCTCACACCCTCGCTTGTGTGTAGGCAAAGAAGTTCGAAACCTACCGCAGCTAAGGCAGTATTTCCCTTGGATAAGAAACAAAACATTGAATTTTGATTAGAAGCAATATGGATTGATAGCCAGGAATTGGTGACTATTCATATATCTGCTCAGGAGGCTGAGAGCCACAGGATCATGGCTCCAGACCAACCCAGGTAGAAAAGTCTTTGAAACTCCAACTCCAAAGACGCCAAGCTGGAGATGTGGCTCAAGTGGTAGAGTGCCAACCTAGCAAGTGTGAAGCACTGAGTTCAAACCTTGGTATTGAAGCAAAAAAAAAGTCTCTGTGGCAGGAGTTTTTGGAAACATAGGAAAGAATAAAGAAGTAAACATGAGTCATTAAAAAAAAAAAAGTGTACCCTACCCCATGATTCACAGTGAACACTTAAAATATAATTTATCTCATCTTCGGTTCCCTGCTTTAGGAACTGAGGTCATTCTATTATATTACCTCTTCTAGTTTATTCCAGGAAAATAAAAACTATGTGCACATTTTATCATTCATTCAAGGGAGTCTAGAAACTGCAGAGTTATCAACCTGATGCTGTGGTGATTTTTCACACAGGAGATCAAATGGCTCAAGTCTAAAAAAACTGCCTTAGATGTATTGGCCTGAAATCCCAAATCAAGTATTAGTGACTTCCCTTTTGGGAATCATCTCTCACTGAAGTAGGTCTCGTACAAAATGTCATCCACGCATCCTTCCCACTGTTCAGAGCACATGCCTTGATAGATGGAATTTACATGAGGAAGTTTAATTTTTAGTCGTGTTTTTCCTCGTGTTTTGATGTTTTGCCATCACTCGTACCCAGAGTTGCAACCCTCAGACCCCTTCTCGCACACCCAGAGCTGTGTTTTGGGACACTCTGTAATTTCAGCGACTAAATGGTTCAGAGCAATGATTTTGTTTTACATCCTATAGTTCATATGAATCAATTGTGAAGGAAGCACATAAAGAAACCCACCAAAATCAATCCAAAAGGAGGGGGACAGGCGGGAAGGGGTTCAGAAGGATTAATGCAGATGGGTTGGCCTTGATCTAACAAATACATATATA